CAGCTCACTGCAAGCTCCGCCTCCTGGGTTTACGCCATTCTCCTGCCTCAGCCTCCCGAGTAGCTGGGACTACAGGCGCCCGCCACCTCGCCCGGCCAGTTTTTTGTATTTTTTAGTAGAGACGGGGTTTCACCGTGTTAGCCAGGGTGGTTTCGATCTCCTGACCTTGTGATCCACCTGTCTCGGCCTCCCTAAGTGCTGGGACTACAGGTTTGAGCCACCGCGCCTGGCCACCTAGCCAATTTTTAAACATTTTTGTAGAGATGGGGTTTCACTGTGTCGCCCAGGCTGGTCCAAACTCCTGAAGTCAAGTGACATCAAAGCCTTTCAAAGCATTGGGATTACAGGCATGAACCACTATACCCAACTGAAAGCACTGTAAGAGGCCAGCTAAGGCCAGCACATGAACTAGAAGCAGCAGTTTCTTCTAACCTGTCCCAAGGTGGATGTTTAGATTTTAAATCCTAAGTTAATTTTGACTTTACATGCCCATCATTTAGGAACCCAAATACTACTAAGAAACTTCTAACAAGGGTGAGAGTTTTATGATCAGGGAAGAAGTCCACACATTCTAATCGTTCAGACTTGTTACACAGTATTAATATATTTCATGTACTTTTCTACATTTGTATTTCAGAAGTTTTTTAATTTTATTTTTTGTAGAGACAGGGGTCTCACTTTGTTGCCCAGGCTGGTCTTGAAATCCTGGCTTCAAGCAATCCTCCCACCTCGGCCTTCCAAAACACTGGGATTATAAGGCATGAGCCACAATGTCCAGCCCACAAAATTTCTTTAGAAAACTGAAAACAATTTTTTAAATGTTAACAACAAAACAGGTTTCCTGCCTTGTCCCTCCACACCAGAGGAAATTGATGCTGATTTTTTCTAGCAATTACACATCTCCATAGTCCTAAACAACATGTGTATACAACCTTGTGAGTCATCCATGTCACACAGCATCTATGGCCTTCCCATCCTGAGAGATGTGAATTTAGTTCTCTCACAAGGCCACCCCATCAGCTCCCCTCCACCAGCTGGTCAATACCATAGAAGTCCACTGTAATTTGGCAATCTGGGTACTCAATGTTTTACTAGTTTGTGATCATTATTCACATATGAAGTTTGTGATCATTATTCACATACGAGAGCTGCAGTGTACCAGATTTTAGTTCCTTTTTGCCTTTTCCTGGAGTTAATGATTTTTTTCCTTTACTTAGTGTTCCTTGCACCTGTTGCTAAATCACCCCACTCCTCCTAATAGATTCTCAGTACACATAAGATAATTGATCAGGCCACATGAGGTGGCTCATACCTGTAATCCCAGCACTTTGGGAGGCCAAGCCAGGAGGACTGCTTGAGCCCAGGAATTCAAGACCAGCCTGGGCAACATAGCAAGACCCCATCTCATTAAAAATAATAATAATAAATAATTGATCAGTTCTGTTTTTTTTTTTTTCCACTGGTGACATCTCTCCTGGAGGCCTCTGTTCTCCTTCCAAAGGTACTGGCTGTCCTCTAGGCCCCTACACCATCATCGCTTTGGGGCTTCCCTTTGCTGACATCCCTAGAATTCCCTTTGCCTTTCCTTGGGGTTGGATTCCTAAGTTGGGAGATTGGGTGGCTCTCTTTCTTGGTAGACTCCCTTGTTTCACTGGGGCATATCCTCCAGTAGTTTCATCCACTTAACAAGATGGTAAAATGGCAGGGTGCATGACAAGATGCCCTCAATTACCCTGCCCTGTTCCTGACTGGGCTTCCTCATCACCATCACCCTGGAGATTCCCTTGAGTCTATGTTGAATCCCCTGTTTCCTGTCTCCTGTGTGTTGCTCTTCCTTGGTTTACCCTCTGGTTTCAGTGGAAGACATCCTCAAGTAGCTTTCTAAGAAAGGCTATTCAGGGCCAGGCATGGTGGCTCACACCTATAATCCCAGCACTTTGGAAAGCCAAGGAGGGAGAATTGCTTGAACCCGGGAGGCGGAGGTTGCTGTGAGCCGCGACTGCGCCACCGCACTCCAGACTGGGCAACAGGGTCAGACTCCATCTCAAAAAAAAAAAAAAAAAAAAATTTAAATTAGCCAGGCATATTGCCTGGCACCTGCCTGTAGTCCTAGCTACTCAGGAGGCTAAGGTAGGAGGATTGCTTGAGCCCAGGAGGTCAAGGCTGCAGTGAGCTAGGATTACACCATTGCACTTCAGCCTTTCTCCTGCCCTCACATTCAGCCTTACTGCTTGGCTGTGTACGAAATGCTAGGGAGGGTCAGGCGTGGTGGCTCATGCCTGTAATCCTAGCACTTTGGGAGGCTGAGGTGGGTAGATCACTTGAGGTCAGGAGTTTGAGACCAGCCCGGCCAAAATGGTGAACCTCATCTCTACGAAAAATACAAAAGTTAGCCAGGCATGGTGGCGTGCACCTGTAATTCTAGCTACTTGGGAGACTGAGGCAGAAGAATCGCTTGAACCCGTGGGATGGAGGTTGCAGTGGGCTGAGATCACGCCACTGGACTCCAGCCTGGGCGACAGAGCGAGACTCTATCCCAAAGAAAAAGAAATTCCAGGCAGGAAAACCTTCTTCAGAGTTTTAGAAGCCTTGTGCCATTGTGTTGTGGCTTCTAGAGGCTGCTAGAACGAGAGTAATTCTGATCCCTGATTCTTTGTAGGTGACCTGTTTTTTCATATCCAGATGCTTATAGGAACGTCCCTCCGTCCCCAGAACTCTACGATTTCACAGTGATGGGCTCAGGTGTGTGTCTGCTTCCACCAATGAGGCTGCACATCTCTCAGGCCCTCTCAATCTGGAAACTCCCATCCTGGGAATTTGTCTTCAAATACTTCTCTGATGGGATGAACATGGTGGCTCACGCCTGTGATCCCTACTTTTGGAGGCTGAAGTGGGAAGATCACTTAAGGTCAGGAGTTAGAGACCAGCTTGGCCAACATGGTGAAACCCCATCTCTACTGAAAATACAAACATTAGCCGGGCATGGTGGTCTGTGTCTGTAATCCCAGCTACTCGGGAGGCTGAAGCAGGAAAATCACTTGAATCCAGGAGGCGGATGTTGTAGTGAGCCAAGATTGCGCCACTGCACTCCAGCCTGGGCAATAGAGCAAGACTCCATCTCAAAAAACAACAACAACGAAAAGAAACAAATACTTCCTTGCTGATGTCCCTACCTCTTTTTTTCTCTATTTTTTCCCGAAGTCCTATATTTGGATGTTGAAATTCCTATACTGGCCTACTGGTTTATGTATTTTTCCCCTCTCCTATTCGCTCTCTTCTTCTACTCACTGGTTGATTTTCTCAGCCTCATCTTCTAAACATTCAGTGGAGTTCTTCATTTCTGCTATCATGTTTTTGATGTCTACGAACTTGTTTTTGGCCTGCAAATGTTCCCTTTGTTATAGCATCCTCTTCCTATGAGTGCAACATCCTGTCTGACCTCAACGAGGATATTAATGAGAGCTTTTTAAGCTTCTCTTCTCCAGCGTAGTTTCTGTTTCTTCCAAGCTTCCTGCGTCTGCTGGTTTGGACCTTGACTCATATATGAGAAACTGGACCTCAGGGCCGGGCGCGGTGGCTCACGCCTGTAATCTCAGCACTTTGGGAGGCCAAGGCAGGTGAATCACCTGAGTTCAGGAGTTCAAGACCAGCCTGTCAACATGGTGAAACCCCACCTCTACTAAAAATACAAAAAATTAGCGGGGTTTGGTGGTGCGCACCTGTAATTCCCCCTACTTGGGAGGCTGAGGCAGAAGAATTGTTTGAACCTGGGAGGTGGGGGTTGCAGTGGGCTGCAATGGTGCCAATACACTCCAGCCTGGGCAACAAGAGCAAAACTCCGTCTCAAAAAAAAAAGAAAAAGAAACTGGACCCAAATGTCAGGGAAGCTTTGGTTCCACTCTTCTGACTATGAGTGAGAACAGAATTTCTAAGACTGTGGTGGACCTGGTTGACCCTGTGCTCAATGTAGGGTGAGGTAGGAGGGGCTGTGTGCTGGGGATCCCCTGAGTCAGTATCTTCAGTGTCTTTCTCTCTCTCTCTCTCTCTCTCTCTCTCTCTCTCTCTCTCTCTCTGGCCAGATTCCCCAGGGAGAAGTTTTCCAGTCTTCTGCCTGGACAGTAAAGGTCAGCCTGGAGCCCCGAGGGGAAGGGGGAAGTTCTAAGCATTCAGCACCTATTCGGACCCTTATCTTCCTATTTGGGATATAGGCCCCATGCCCTCAACTGTACCTGTCGATACCTTCTCCCAAGACCCTCTATATGTCCCTTTGAACTGCTGCCTTCTGTTGGGGTCGAAGTGGACAGCCCCCGCCACAGGAGACAGGGGAGGCGACCTGGGAGTCTTCTACCCAGTCCTTCTCATTTTGGTACCCTCCTTACCCCTCAGCTCCAGGGGCATCCCCTGCTGCCAAACACCATGCCTTTTGGGGGTTCTATGGTACATATGGCCAGGGGTCCCCAACTTTCCTCACTGCTCCATTAGGACTCAGCCTTAAGCCAGTGACCACTCATTCATCTACTTTCCAGCTTCTAAAAGGTTAATGCTGCGC